ATGAACGCCGACGACATCACGCCATATATGGACTGGAAGCACATCATGAATATGGCCTCGGGGCACTCGGGCGACGTGGTGCGCACGCCGTAGCCGATCGTGTGCTGCGTCTCGATCGAGAACAGGAAGCAGGAGGTGAAGCCGTCAATGGCCGAGACACAAGGCGCCCAGCCGGACTCCTCTAAAGCATACGAATCAAATCAGCTCATCTGCTTGGCTCAGCTGTGACATAGACTTACCCTGGTTGTGCGGCAGGTGCAGCTCCTCGAGATCACCGTGCGTGTACATGATGAGCCACCAGATCAGTGCAAAGAACAGCCAGGACAGTATGAAACTCATTGCGAAGGCCAGCAGTGTCCAGCGCCACTGCCAGTCCACCATCGTGGTGTACATGTCCTGGAGGAAGCGCACCCGCCGGCGCTGCAGATGCTTCTGCACCACATTGCAATCCCCATTCTTGAAGACGGCGCGACGGCGCACGCGTCGCATGCTGCCAGGCCGAAAGTTGCGAGATCTACAGAGAGAGAGATAGAGGGCTTCAGATGGACGTGCTGGTGAATCTTGTATACGCTATGCAAAGAATATTTAAATAACCGCCCGAAAATATGTTACACTCTTTGCACTGGCAAAAGTTGCCAAAAAAAAAAAAAACATAAAAGAAGCAATTAAGCTGACCTTCCACACTCTGAGTCTGAATTTGAAAACAGTCAAGGAACAAATAAATTAACATACAAGCAGAGAGAGCTCCCTATGTGTCCACTGAGAGGGTTGCCAAAAATAAATAATAGTGTATAGGACAAACTCGCATCAAAGTCCCATTTACATGAATGGGTTTGGGTTTGAGCTAATTAAATAAAATATAAATAGTGTACAGATTATCCATTTGAAAAAAAAAAAAATATATATATATATATATATATATATATATATATTTATATTGCAATAATAATAATAAATAAATAAGTTGACTAATTCCTAACCCATAAGTAAGATAAGATAGAGAAGTTTGGAGACCTTCTCACACATTAACTATAAATGAGACTACTTATTGAGTAATTAATAGACTACTATGTTAGTTCATACTAGAGTAAAAATAAAAGCAAAAGAATTCCAAAAAATAAATAAATATATAAATAATAATAATCCTAAATTGAACACTACAATTGCTTGAGCAATAAAATCACTTAGCTCAATTTTTTTAATTTTTAATAATTTTTTTTATTTATATCTATGTAAATTCTTCGCATAATTCAGGGTATTTCCTATTCAAAAACACTTGACTAGAGCGCTGTTGATTTTTATTTATTTTTTTTTATAATCGTGGATATTTCTTAAGCAAAAAGCTACGTAAGCATATTTAAATAATATATGTATATTAAACTCTCTCGAAGAATAAAAAAATAAATGTCGTTTCTCCTTAATTTCTAAATGACATTTTATTAAAATATTTAAAATATTTAGTCCGTCAAAGAGTTAATCTCTGCTAAAAGTATAAATTGTCAGCGTTTTTTTTTTTTTTCGATTTTGCCCAATTTTTATCTTATTTCAACTTTGCTATCTGTCCACTATTTGGACAGCTATATTTAGAATTAGATCAATTTCGAGGCCATTTGCATTTCAATGGCACTTAGTCTGTCTGCAATTGAATTGCCTGGCGAGACCTGCACCAGTTACCCCAGCAGCTCAGCAGCTCGGTAGCTCGGCAGCTCGGCAGCTCGGCTAATTGTCTAAATTGAGTGCGCACACTTGAGCAGCAAAGTATTTGCCAGCTTTTGGATATGGAAATGAAGTGCATCTAATTAACAGCGCACTTAATTCGCCAATGTCAGACGTAACGAACTGAACTGGTTCCAGCCGAGGCGAGATGTCTTCTAGTAGCTAATGCATATACACATAAATGTCTAATTAATTCCAATTGTCGCTGCATGAATCGCAGTCGAGATAAAAATTGCATAAAAATTGTCAGCGCAAGATTTGGGCTTAGCTCCCACATGACCCAGGCGCACTGGCAATTAACTTAGCTTTGAACCCCATTGGCACTTGGAGCTTGGGCTATTAATTGACACTGAGCTGGTTCCATAAATAACCGCTAATCGAATTTCAGGCACAACTCTCGAAAGCAAAAATGTGCGAGACGAACGAGATGAGCGAGGGCAATCAAATGATTCACTTGGCTTTGAAGAGATGCCGCACTTGCTTAATTATTAATTACTTTTAGCGCAGTGTGCGTGTGTGTGTGTGTGTGTGTGTGTGTGTGTGTGTGTGTGTGGACGCCAACGCAATCCACACTACAGCTAGACCCGTCCTCCGACGGGCGTCTGCGGAAATGATTTCATAATCGCTCACGTGTGGGAAAATTGTGAGCACAATTGATTGATAAATCGTGCATGTGATAGTGATGGGCCAATAACTTAAATCGTATCGTTTAACGGCTGAGAAACGATTCCATTGAAATTCTTTTGAAAATCTGTTCAAGTCATGGGGCGTTTCACGTTTGACAGGTGTATAATGCCGCATTATACACAGTGGGACAAGATTTGAATCGGCTGGCTAATGAGCCGATTTCTATGGCGCAGATAGGAAAACATTCGAGCGACTTCTCGTTTAGATAATGCAACTAGTCGACTGCGACTGCGTGGGCGTCCGTATAAATTACAACCGCAAGCGACAAACGACGAACGACGAACGGCAAACGGCGCACGGAGCACTTAAAATCAAATAACCGTCGCACTGCTAATCAGTAAATAAATCGTAATTTTAGACTTTTGTATCTGTCACACACACACACACACACACAGACAGTGCTGCTGATTGAGCGCAAGCAAGTTCAAGTTGAATGTCAGTCGTTATGCAAGCGACATATCTATATGTATGTATGCATATATTAAATATACCCCTTGGCCAGCGAGTGGCTGGATCCTTTGAGCGCCTCGTAGTAGACGCCAGCCTGCGAGGGCGTGTGTGAGATGCCCCTGATATACTGGCGCTTCCACTCCTTCATATGCGCAAACGCTTCGTCCTCCCTGTCGCCGTCCACGGCCTCCGCATCGCCAGCGTCCTGTAGGACCTGCACATCGGTCAGAGGCACCTGCATACTGACCCGTTCGCGCACAAAACTTGACTGAATCGGAGGCTGGCACCACTGATCTCAGGCCAACGTGGGCCTCAGCAATATTTGGCTTACAATGTTTGCCATGGAAATTAGAGCATTACTAACTAATAAATGTCTATTGACGGCAGCACTTAGGCAGCTAACAAGAGCCGAGTGCAAACATAGCCCTAATGGCTGGCGCCCCAACCACTCCGCCCCGCCATCCCCTTACCTGCAGCTGGGCTGCCGCTGAAAGCCTTTGCCATTGCCGGAGGTGAGGCCATAGAAGCTGGCCGGACGATTGGGCACGATCGTTATGGGATACGACTGCGGATTGCTGATCACACTGTCCAGCGAATCGGGATCCTCCTCGATGGTCGTTGGTCGGTTGAGCGGCTTCACGGACTTCTCATTGCACCTGGCCGCCGCCGTGGTCGTCGCTGCTGCAGCCGGCGTCGTGTTCGCTGCCGAGTGAGTTGTAAAATTAAAACGCATCTGTGGAAGGCAGTTGATGGCAGTTTAAAGTACTTGTTAATCACAATGTTTTGCCAGCTATTCTGCTGTGCCAAGTGCGCAAACAGACAGGCCTGGTGAGCAGGCCGCAGCGAGGTGCGGCAAATATTTCGCACATAACTAGATTTGCGAACGTCAACAAGAGATGAGCGCGTTTGTTATCAATTGCATGTGTGCATATATATACACAGATATCTAGTCGAATAAATTATCGAAATATATATACAGTCATGCAAGTTCTTCACTCTAATATCACTTGGTTTACTTTAGGTTGATGTAAACTGCAAACTGGGCAAACGCTAATCAGATAAGTGATAAAATTGTTTACAATTTCGAAGCACAGAATATTTAAATTGAACTTATTTTTAATATATATTGATTCTGAATAGCACTTAAGATCGGGATTTGTGTTAAAAATATATTAAATAACTGTTGAGCAAACACACACACCTTTAAGCGATTTTTTGCTCTTAGGAGATTCGAGCTTTTTTAGCACCTCTTTAATCAATTGACACCTTTAAAACTGGCATATCGAATTTTCTTGCTGCTTGTTTTCTTCTCTTCCACTTTTGTGTTATGCAAACAAGCTTTCGCACATCTTTAGCAATTTAGTCTATTTTTTATGTACGGCCAGCGCACGCCGCTAAAATTGAGCTTTGTTTTGTGCACGCGCGCCGAACCAGAAATGAACAGATAGACAGGGCAGGCCGGACGGCTGCACAAAGAGCAAAGCACAGGCAGGCCACAGAAACTATCCACGGATAGCGATGACAACGCCACAGACGCTACTCCGTAAGTCCGACCAACGGATTAAATGACGGCTCGAGCGACGTGGACGTGGACGTGGACAGCGACTGCTATTGCGACTGCGACGCCAAGAAAAATATATCAAACTAAACAAAAGTTGTGAACAAAAGGCGGCGCGCTGTAAATGAGCTCAGTTACGCACACACACACACAGACACTCATACACTCATACACTCATTCACAGTGGCAGTTCCCACTGAGACTGCAGATTGATGCTCTCACACATACGAATGCCGAAACAGATACGCAGACAGCTGAAATTGTCAACGCGACGTGAATACGAGAAAAGTTCAATTGAAATGATTTTTAAATTGAAAGCGAGGCGGAAGATAAGCGCGATAAGTGCTACTTATCTGTATTTAATGTTGCAATCCGGAGAAGAAGTGGAAGCGGGCGTGACCTTGCTACCCAATGCTACGTCGCAAGGTCAGCGTATACGTAATATTTGCAATGCACTTTCTCGCCGTGTGCACGAAAGTAGTCACATTTCATATATATATTTGTGTATCTGCATGTCTGATAACAGCAGTCAGAGCAATTGGCGACAAGGCGTATACTTAATATTTGAATATTTACGCGTCGCTGAACGCCTCATCAAAGTCACGCATCATAAATTTATTACATTTGCTTCCCAATTATTTTGAGGCGTGCGGTTAATAATTTAAAGTGGGTAAAAGAATAAAATGTTTGTGACAGCTCCAGAGCTTAGAGCGAACCGCTGCGCCTATTCATCAGGAATGGATGATGGCACACCTCGATGGCCGACAGTCGATGCGGCGGAAACTTGACCAGCAGCGACCTGACCAGCTGCTGAGCTGGCCGGCTGACCTTCATCTTCAGCTCGGGCGGTATGTGGTAGTTATTTCTTCGAATGAACTCTTGCACAGCCCGGGGATCGCACTCGCTGTGCGCGAAGGGCAGCCGACTGAAGAGCATGTAGTAGAGCGTGACGCCCAGCGCCCACAGGTCCACAGCGAAGTCGTAGCCCGAGCAGTTGATCAGCTCGGGCGCCATGTAGTGGGGCGTGCCGCAGCACTGGTAGATCTCCCGGCCCTGGTAGTAGGTGGCCAGGCCAAAGTCGCTTATCTTGATCGCCACCACAGCGGGCTCCATGGGGGCCGAGTAGTCGAGCTGCACCAGCAGATTGTCGAGCTTCAAGTCTCGATGGATGATCTGGCACGCGTGGATGTACGCCAGGCCCTTGCTGATGTCCCGCATGGCCTTCTGGACCAGCGATTCGGGAAAGACTTGCTTCTTCTGCAGCAGCTCGAAGAGGTCGCAGTCCAGGCGCTCAATCACAATGTAAATGTACTTGAACTGCTCCACCGTGTATATGAGGTCAATGATGTTCGGATGATCCTGCAGCCTGCGCAAGATTTCAATCTCAAAGTAGGTGTCGTTGGTGCGCGAGCACATGTGCTCCCTGTCTACCATTTTGATGATGTAGTTCTTATTCTTGCGGGCTCGGCCCGTGCTCTCGAATATCACCGTCGACTTGTTTATCCAGATGGGCTTAGCCACGTCCAGGTACAGGAGTATGGCTTGTGGCAGCTCGCAGCTCTTGTAGTCAATGACGCCATCGTCTTCCGAGAGAGGCGCGTCCTCCCCTTCGTCTTCTTCTTCTTCAATCTTCTCACGCATTCGGATGAGGGAGCCCAGAATCCGCATGTAGTGCTGATTGACATTGTAGCCCACGTCTATGAAGGGCTCGTACTGGCAGCAGCAGGCCACAATGTCGCCCTCGAAGAAGTCGTCTATCGACAGCAGCTCGGTGCCATTGATGCGAAAGATGCGAGTTATGGCCGACTTGAGGTAGACGTGCGGGCGGAACGCCACCGTGACTGCCTCCAGCAGCGCCTGGAACTCCTGGTAGCGCTTCTTCGACACGGGCAGGCACACGCCGCCAAAGTGTTGATTCATGTTGCGCAGGAAGCAGACACGCAGCGCCTTGGCCGGCAGACGGCGAGCCAGCGGGCAGACGCTGATGTCGGAGAGTGGGCGCGGTAGCACCGGGAAGGGCGCCATGCTGGTCAGCCCATTCATGCTCTGTGTGGATGCGGAGCGTGCCATTGTGAGTGCGATAGCAGATATATGAATATTTTTGGTGTTGTTTGTCGAGGCAGGTATGTGACGAATAATGTTAATGTATTGTGAGTAAATCCAAAGTTACAGATCTCAAATTTCAGTCTACTTAAACTGTATCCAGTGCCTGTCTGTATCTATGCGGCAGCTGACGTTCAATGTTCTTCCGGGGCTTGGGGCTTGGGGCAGGCTAATGCTAACGGCAGCCACGTAAATTATGTCACTCTAAATTGTGAAGAGCACCCGAGCAGCTGTGATAATTGAATAATCAGCTTAGTTACGCCGCATGACATCGAGCGAGCAACCGCAAGTTATGCACAGGCACAGCCAGAATCAGAGGCAGAGATCGAGCCATAGGCCGTGCGCCCCAGCTGCTATACACCCCACACCTCCACACAGGCTTTGCAGCTGCATAGATTCATATGTGCGTGTGTGTGCGTGTGTGTGTGTGTGCGTGTGTGTGTGTACTCGCCAAGTGCAAATTTGTAAGCAATCATTGGGCACTTTGTTGTCGTGACACGTTGAATAGGTAAGTGTTAATTGGTTTTTAATGCATCGAAAAGCGCCGATTTACGTCAATTATAAAGCGGACTATTTAATTTTTCTTTTCGGGTTTCTTCTTATGCGAGAAGAGTATGTTTAAAAACAGAATAAAATGCATAGTTCTGCTATTTGGCTCAAAGATATTCTATACAAAAAGTTATATCAAATTTTTTTTTTTTTAATAAAAGAACAATATTTAAACAAATTTCAAACTGAGCACGTGACATATATATTTACATATTTACATATATATACTTTTTCATTGATAACTATGCCAGTGAGCACATGAGCTATATTTTTTATAAATATTTATGTAGATTCTCCTAAAACTATGTTCGGGCATATTGCTGTTGCCAAAGCGCCATCTAGCGGAGTTGCTTGCAGTAGTTTATGATGCAGAAAAGTATGCTATAGATTTAGCTAAAAACACAGCTTTCAATTTTCCATAAAATTCACTCCATAAATTATTCTCTGAAGAATTGTTACTCTTATCTTATACATTTCTTCTCTGCATATCCCACTTAATGCCACTCAATAATTTTTTTTTTCCTGATAAAATAGAGAACATATTACCCATATCTGTGTGCTCTTATATCGATTTCTTTCTCACTCGCATAAAATGCGAAATATTTGCTTATTCCAGGTGTACATTCAGCTTCTCATCCTTTCAATTACCCAAATATCGTTTGTGAGTCGATGGCATCCACCAAATACAAATACAAAATTCAAATTACAAATATTTTAAAAGACATTTGGATTTATTTTATAAAAATTTAAAGACGTATCTTGGATTGATCCGTGTACAGGCAAACAGATTTATGGACTTTGATGTGCTTAGGATATAATTGATTGAATATCGAATAACTTTTAACTTTGACTATTTACACCTGATATGAAGTAAGGAAATGTTGTACGGCTTTGGGTATGCTATAAGTAGATTGCTTAAACTACGTATTGGCGTGTGTGTGTGAGTGTAAGTGGGCAAGTGACATATAATATGTTTTTGTTTAATCGTGTATAAATGCTGCGACACTTATGTACAAGCTATTCACTAATAACAAATATTTAACTACGAGCTACTGACTACGATCTACGATAATTTTACAATGGAATCTGCATTAAATATTCTTTTCTGCTCACTCTTTCACAAAATGGCAAAATTTTTACAAAATGTGAGTGTGTGTGTGTGTGTGTGTGTGTGAGTGTGTGTGAGTGTTGGTGTTGCTGTGGCTGGGTGAGCAATGTTGATGCGTAAAAATATATTTGTGGCCCTGGCCTAGAGCTCTACATAGCCGCACCATTGTAATGCTGGTACATTTCATCCCAAAATCTCTGTCGTTCCGGCTCGGGATTCGTCTTCATGTTCAGCTCGTGCGAGATGTCCAAATAGTTGAGGCTGTTCATAACATTTGTGGCATCGATGGGAGCCCACTTGGCCGTCAGCAGGGGATCCTCAATGTTGGGCGTGGGCGTGCTGAAACCAAAATGGCATTGAGGTAAGCTTCTTCGACTGCATCAAGAGCTCAGGCTGGCTTACCCGTATTTGGCAAAGTTTGCCCACATGCGCACCATGCGGTTCTTGACCTGCACTTCCATGGACTTTGGATCTAGACTCAGATTCAGGAAGCCAAACTTGAACAGGTAGCCCATCTCGTCGCCATGGCACACACCTGGCCGCGGAATGCCCAGCATGCGCTTGTACAGGCCCAGGGCGCCGTCGAAGGAGAAGCGATACATGTAGACCGGCGCATTGCCGTACTTGGCATGGTTCCTGGCGGTGCGGCGAATACCTTGCAGGAACATGAGATCAGTCAGCAGCTGAAGGAAAAGAAACACGATTAATGTAAACGCTATATATAGATTATATATCAGAGATCATTTACAGCTATCATTTCATCCACAGACTCGAGGCCAACGTGCTTGTTGCCCAGATAGAAGGAGCGTATTTCGCGTGTGACTCTGTCATGGGCATGGCTCACATTCAGATCGTGCGGCACCAGGCGGCCAAAGTCGTTCTCGATAATATTCAATAGCTGCGGATTCTTGCGCAGTCCTAGAAAAAGAGATAAATATATATATATATGATTTAACGGCATTTACTTCGTCCCCTCCTCGACTCACTTCTGATGAACAGCATCGCCTCGTGCGTGTTGTAGCCCGTCATGTAGGGCACCTCGCTGTTGAAGTTGTGGGCATCGTACATATCGCTGGGATGCTCGGTGAGGAAGGGCTGCTCCAGGTAGGTCTCCTCCTGCGAGTCCTTGTTCCAGTAGCCCTCCACGACGGGCACGAAGGGCAGGCCGATGTTGTTGCGCTGATCGTCCGCTGTGAGCGTTGTGGGCGCCGCCTCGACCAGCTTCATGGCGGGCACTCGGCGCAAGAAGTCCAAGATCTCCTCCGTATTGTTGGCACCCACATAGCCCAGGTTGGCTGCCAGTCGTGCCGCCCTCTGTCCCGAGCTGGCGGCCATGGACCAAGGGTTCAGTGCGGAGCCGCTCTGCGAGATGGCCCGATGGAACAGACCCTTGGCCAGGGGCGACAGCAGCAGCAGCTGCACCGAGGAGGCGCCCGCCGACTCCCCAAAGATGGTCACCTGCTGCGGATCACCGCCAAAGGCCTCTATGTTGTCGCGCACCCACTGCAGGGCCAGCACCTGATCCTTGAGGCCCTGATTGCCGGGCGCATCGGGTCCAGCCGTCAGAAAGCCCAAGGGACCCAGCCTGTAGTTCAGCGTAACTAGCACAATGTCCTCAGCGACCAGATAGTCGGGGCCGTAGAGAAAGGAGTTGCCGGAGCCAAAGGAGAAGCCGCCGCCATGCAGCCACACCATCACGGGCAGCTTAGGCTGTGCACTGAACCGGGAAGAAGAAGAATTGAGAACTCAATATTTATGTACTGTGAATCCCGTTTAGCTGAGCCGCTTACTCATCCTCCTTGGGCATGCGCGTGGTGAACACATTCAGAAAGAGACAATCCTCGTCGCCCTTGAAGGTGTCCAGTATCATGTTCTTGTGCGGACAGCTTTGGCCCTCCCGCGAGGCATCTCGCACGCCGCTCCACGGCTTCTCGGGCAGCGCAGCGCGGAATCTGCACGGCAATCGCATTAGATATAGAGCCTTAACGGATTTGTTGTGGCAACGGGACTCACCTTCTGGCACCTGTGGGTGGCGCACCATATCGCATGCCCTTGAAGCTGTAGTAGCCCCCCCTCTCACCCGAGCGGTACTTCTGAAAGCGTCCGCGCACCTTGCCCAACGTGGTGCTGGCCACGATTTCACGTTCCTTCTACAAATGCATGGGTAAACGAGTTTAGATACAAATCTTGATAAATACACTTAAGCGTGGGAACTTCTGCTCCTCTCCTCGTGCCCCATGAATGTGCTGTTTGATAAAATCAATTTTGAATGGCAAATCAAATGTTTTCAGAGACCTGCAGCTCGCCAGATGCCTTGGCAAGTGTTTCGTTCTTGCACAAGAGTTCTGCAAGAATTTTGCATTAAACTTGGACAGCTCTGGCGTCCGCAACTAGGCCATGGTGCAAACATTGCGCAATCGCCTAATGGCCAAAAAGCCAGTTATTAACAAATTTGTATTAAAGCAGCAGCAGCAGCAGCAGCAGCCGCAACTGCAGCGACTAGCTCTTTCTTTGTTCTTGAAGTTATTGCAGCAATTGCCAACTGGCAACTGCATCAGCCTAGACTTGACCTCAGCCAAGCTGCAGCTGCTGCTGCTGCTGCTGCTGCTGATTCTTGACGTTTATGTTGGGGCTGGAGTTGATGCAATATTTGTTATGTGCGGCTGAAGGTCGTCGAGTTGCCATCTGTGCTTACCCGCAGAGAGCGCACCACCTCCTGCACCACACGCATGGCGCGCGATGGCAGCAGCTGCACCAGCGAATTCGGATGCGAGGTCAGCGTTTTCCAGGCCGTCGTCTCCTGCAATGACAAAGGTCACAATTACAGCTCGGATTAATGGCGATTTACAAGCGAGCCAAACAACTGCGCCTTGTGCAAACACAACTCTCAAGTTCACTGCGATTGTTGCATTAATGTTGACAATTTTACTCTGTGTGTGTGTGTGCTCCAGTGTGTGTGTGCGTGTGTGTGTGTATGTCTTGCTGTCTGTTGCTTTTCTGTCACTTTTAATGATGTTAACGGGCAACCTTGCGGCCAAGCAAATTTCGTTTAATTGAAATGCCATTTGCATAACACCAAACAAACGGAGCTCTTAGAGGCGGCAGCAGTCAGAGAAACAGTTAAGTGCGAACAACAATGGCAGCAGTCACGTGCAGCCAACGCTTAGCCATAGATATAGATACAGATACATACATATATACAGTGTGTGTGTGTGTTTGTGTGTGTGGATAACTGTCTGTCAGCTGTCACATTAGCCGGCGTGTGTCCCCAGTCTGAAATGTATCTGTATCTCAATGTGAATCATGACACAGTTAGGCCAAACGCACAGCTCCAGTTAGTTTCAAGTTCACCTTTTATGAGCCAACCATATTATGCTAATTTCTTCTATTATTTTTCGTTTTCTTCTTCTTTTTCCTTTTATCTCCACTCTGATTTCATTGGGTCTGCCCAGAGACTTGACCCGCTAGGTGCGTGGGTCTGCCACAGCCTCTGCAGCTGTATCGGCGCCACACAATTATGCAAATGTGGGCGTAGCCAAAGTCTTATTCAAATTGATTTCCAGTGGCTTTGGCTTAAATCGACTGCGCGGCCATAAAGCCCATATAATATTTATAATATATTTATAACTGTATAGCAGATGCTGTAACAGAGGCGCATTGAATCAACTGAAGCTGTGCATTTTCGTGGATTAGTTTAAAGCCATATTTAAAGCTAATTAGAATTTAAATTAGTTTTTTTTTTTTTGTATCTCACAGTTTATCATTAGGCACACGAATTTCCTAACTATATCACATAGTTAACATGCCCTAAAGGCCTGGCTTATCTCATTTAATGGGATTTTTGTACTCATTAACATGGGGCAGGGGTATATTGGTTTTGTGCAATGCTCGTGCTCGTGTTCGTCCGTCTGTCTGTCTGTCTTTCCGTCCATCCGTCCGACTGTGAGTTGTTTCGTTTCATCTATCTGCCCATTCACATGCTCGTCTCTCTATGGGTCTCTCCATTCCTCTGCCTGTCAATCGCTCCAACTCTATCATCCATCAGGTAAATCTTCTACAGAACGCCAGGGCTGAGACCATAAATGAGCATTATGCAACCTGCATTATCCAACTGCAATATTCTTAGTTAATTTTCTTTTTTGCTATTGTGCAGATGCAACTGACAAATTAATTGCTCGATTCGACGTAAGCGTGCACAAATGATGCCATTTACAAAACATAAATATTGTATTATGTAAGCACAAAGGCAGCAACATTAACAGCAACAGCAACAGCAACAACAATAACAACAACAATGAGCTCATGGGCGCTTTCACGCTACGCTCGAAATATAAATATAAATACAAAATAACTGCAGTCCAGCAGATCGCCAGCTAACTGCAGTGTAGAAAGTTGCATCTACAGCAACAACAACAACAACTGCAACAAAGCAAATTGCATAAATATTTTATAACTTAACAAAGGCAAAACCAGAAAAAAGAAAAAAGGAAAAACAAAAACTGATTGAAAACAAACCTCAGTTGTGGTTGTAGAACGCTCCATTTCCATTCTGTTTGGCTCGTGCGACGACCCGGAAGTTGAGCTCTCAGTTGTTGTTGTTGTTGTTGTTGTGGCAATCAAGAATTGCGCACTCGTTGCCAACTCTGGCCCATCGTTGGACAGCACAGCCTCCAGATCGTCACCGAAGAGGCTCTCGAGATTCTGAGTCGAGTCTGAACTTTTTTCAATTTTCAACTTGTTGTCCGACTCGAACGAGCGCTGCATGCAAATGCCAAAGATAATTAGACCAGTGGCCAGCAAGACAGCCACGCTGGCCACTACGTAGGGCAAATAGCGGCGACAGGCCATGGCGAATGGGCGTGGCGTGGCGTTTGTGCAACAATGCAATTGTTGTCAACGGCAACCTGCAACCACCTGCAACTCTGCTACAAATGCGAAACACTCAACTTTGATTTATTGAACTCGCGCTCCCTATTGGGCTCACACACACACACGAACACCGACTAACTAACAAATAACTAACTAACTTTGCGTCTGTTGCAGTTGACGGTCGATGGAGTTTTGAGTCGGAGTTGGAGCTGCAAGTCTTGTTATTCAGTTTAGTGTGTTGCTGCCAAGTATATAACTAGATATAGATAGATATTTCATATATATATTTTGGTACTATTATTTTTAGTGCTTGTAATAATTTTTTTTCTCTCATTTTTTAGCTTTTGTTTATGTTATGTGCAGCACGCAATGGCTGAGTGCAGACGTTGGCATTGTTTTTTAACTGTAGTTACTGTTGTTGTTGTTGTTGTTGCTGTTGGAGGTGCTTTGGTTGTTAACTTGCAGCTGATAAGCGGCTATCACTCAATGTTAACTGAGAGCGAGCGGAAATGTTGCATTCGCTGCTTAATTATTCATTTAATTGCAATTATAATTGCAGCCCGAGCACATAATTTGATAATTTGATTAGCTTATTTCGACTTTAATTGCTATATACACAGCGGGATGAGTATATTGTGAATTTATAAATCTATTTACATATATATGTACAGAGCCTAGCCAAGCTCGGCTGATTATCGCATTAGGGTTAGACACAGACATAGAGATTGGGCACTGCAGCTCACCTGGCTTAACTCTTCACATATCCAATATAGCATTGGCTGCAGAGTGGAAATTCTATATTGCGGCAGAGTAAAGTAAAATACCTACGAAATGCAGGCGAATAACGAAAATTAATCAAGACTGGGTATGTATGTGCTTCACCCTAGACAGGTTTTTATTTATAGTAAAGACTGTTTAAATAATAATCAAAAATGGTTGAGTTTAAGGCCGTTGGCGCTATAAAGCGTCTTCTCTCTCTATCTCAAAAAAAAAAAAAAAATAATAATAATAATAATACTAATAATAATAATAATAATAAAATAATAAAATTAAGTATATAAATTATTATTCATTATTTACAGCTCAACTAATTCCATACTCATTTGCTCATTTGAATAGAGTATATGGCTTTTGTGCTGTGCGCAGCTAACAGTCCACCTGTTCGTCAACCTGTATTGATGTAAGCAATTCGTTTCATTGCCATTGAAAACTGAGCCGTTAATTTTTGAAAATTATTCTCATTGACGCCATCGTTTTATTGTTTTATAATGCGTGAAGCATTTTTCGACGCGCCTACTGAACGCATAGCGAATCGGAATATCCATACAGCCTTAAGATAAATGGCATGAACTGTTAAGTCAAGAGACTTGTAATTTATTTATTTAATTTATAATATATACTCGTGTATAGCGTGGGATAAAATGTGTAAATAAAACGCATTTAATATACTATATGATAATAAATAGAAATATTCTGACACTGTGCAGTTAAGAGAGGAAGAGCAACTGATAAGATTACAATGAGTTGACTGAAGCTGCTTCTCCTCCTGCTCCTCCTCCTCCTCCTCCTCCTCCTTCTCCGCCTTTGCAGCGAATAAAGTAAACAGAAGAATTGCTGAACTTCTGTAAAATATCGGGCATCTCCAGAGGCAACTCTGAAGGTTATTCTTGAGGCAAGTGGGACGTTGTAAACGCCATCGAGGCCATAACTAGCTTGAATTCTCACGCTCAAGCCTAATCAAACAAGAGCAGACACACTCTCAGTTGAATCTTACTAATCAAATTGTAAACATAACTTTTATTTCTACTTCGGCTGGCCGAAAAACGTGACAAAAGTCAAAATTTTGATAAAAGCGAAAATTGGCAATATAGATTAATCAATCTGATAAAAGTCACTCAGAGAGCCGGAATTTAATTTCGACAAAAATGAAATGTAATTATGAATATTAAAAGTTCAAGCCTAACGAATTGGGTAAGATTTTATCATCTTTGAATTGTTTTTTAAATCTTTATTGAGTTGAATTTTGACACCTATGTAAAATATCTGAAAAATTTGTCTCTTTTTGTTTCTCATTTGAAATTTAAATTAAATAAAAAAATTACAAAATTATCTCTTTTCAGTTGACCTATATAAACACACTCCTGTTGTCACATGGTCTAAAAACATCACTGATTGTATTTAACTGTGAATTGGAGCATGGCTAACCGGTCGGAAAAAGAAAATAGCCATCGGCTGAGCGATAATTATAATATCGAGGCACCATTTCCCCACATTTACTTGGCTTATATAATATTGATGCTTTAGTTTTAACTCTTTTGACACAATCTATTTGATAGATGATAAACAAATTTAGACATATATATATATATAGCCTTAGCATAGCCACGATCTGCAATTTATGCACTGTTAACTTCTCTTTCCTCCAACAGATCTTAAGTTATTGGCAAATCGGAAAATATTGATTTTGTAATAGATTTAGTCTGTTTCGGAACATGAATGAGTATTTTTCCGCTCAGATTTCGTTCCACAATGATTTGCTTCTTTTGTGCGGCTATCGCCTTAGCATAGGTTTTAGTTTTTGGTGAAAATGTAAATTTCAGACTTGAGCCGGTTCGACTTGAATCAGGTTTTTTCTCATGCCCAAAAACTTCGTTTACTTATCAGCTTAATGAGTTTGCCAAAAAAAAAACTAATATATATATATATATATATATATAGAAAATCATATTGAGCATAAGTAAACAAATAAATATATGTGAATATATATTTGATATATGTTTGGCATTGGCAGTGTATTGAGCGACGACAGCATTCAAGATCGGATTCCATATGTGCAGTCACGCGCGCTGGGCACAGATTCGATTCTAAAAAAATCCATGGCCAAAACCAATTGAACAGCAACGTAAATATTTGCGCCTCTAGGCGGCTCATAAAGCACGGGTCATATGCCGCAACGGCTGTGCGCTGTGAATATGGCCAATAGCGTATGCCCAGGCCCATAAAAAGCATTAACAGCCACCTGTAAATGCACTCGCAAAGTGTTTTAAAGGCGATAACTCAGAGTCATCCGGCCGACGGAGTGCTTAAGACAATGGCTCGACGTTCATGCGTGGCTACCTGTGGAGGGAGGTACGGGGCTCTGTAGCTCCGACTGGGCATTGGTAGCCCCGGCGACGACTGCTCAGGTGTTGAATTACTTTTGAAACGGCAACAAATTTGCGACACGATGTCAAAGTCACACTAGATAAGAGCTAAAGCCAAACTACGTAGTAAGCAAGTTTTTCGTCTCTGGCACGCTTCACGTTGGCTTCTTTGTTTAAGCACACACACACTCACACACACATACACACATACATACACATATATACATAAATATTTAGATGGCTATCGACTCACCTTTAAGGTATTGGAAATCTTTCCAGCTCGGGCGATGGCAGTGCCAAACGTTGAGGGCGCTATGGCTATCGAAGCCGTCTCATTGCAGAGCAGCAGCAGCGAGCTGAGCAGCAGCGCCAGGGCTAGCCATGGATGCGACTGTCTTTTGCGTATCATGTTGAGCTTAGCTCTAGCTCTGGCTCTGACTCTAGCTCTAGCTCTGGCTCTGACTCTGGCTTTGACTTGTGAACTGCGACTGAGCAAATAGAAACGAATAATAATGCATTAGTCGATTGTCCACAGCAATCATGTGTGTTTGCAAACGCGCGACGCACCGCACCGCAAGCGAACCGAACCGTACCGTACCGCACCGAACTCTGCTCTGCTCAGACTACTTCTTGGTCAGGGCCAAGCGCGAATGTCAACAAGCAGCAACAGCAACAGCAACAGCAGCAGCAGCAGCAGCAGCAGCAGCTGTGAACTAAGCTGAGCTAAGCATGAGCCACTTGACTCGCTTTTGTTGAGACTGACGCGGCATTGTCTTACATTTAATTGGCTTGAATTATATTCGAATCTGTTGACTTTAGCCGGCGCTGCCTCGTATTAGCCTAATACAGACATTATTCAATTTATTCGGCTGCCGCTTTGAGGTCAATGCGCGCTCAAGCCTCACGCAAATATTTGCCTGCACCCGGGGCGCGTGATGAATTAGCTATGCATGCGATGTCGTCGCTGTCGACTCGTCTGATCTCTGCAACGTGTGATGCCATTAGCAGCCGCCTCAATGACGGCGCCACCTAATAGGAGCAGCGAACCGGAAGCCATGCGGAAGGCTGTCAACTTATTAGTTACGTTTTATGATCTAATTGATTCACAATACTCTGACTAAGGGAACAGAATCTAGAGTGCTAATTTCTTGGCGCGACACTTCCTCTTCCCCGAGAATCGCACAATCGGTGGCTCTTCTTCTTCTTGTGTGATGAGCGCCTAGGCTGGCCAACTACTAAATGACTTGGGCAACAAACTCGTTTACGACTAACAGTGATGAGACGACGGTTTATAAAAACAAATGTACAGCCACTTGGCATATAACACAACGGCAATAGCAACGGCAAAAAAATGCTTCATAATACGCGTGCATTGAATATTAGCGAACAAAAAGAAGAAGCGTTAGAGGCTGACACGCCCACTTGCTTATGACTGGCAAAATCTCGGCAGACAGTGCATAACAAAGCAAAGTTGTGCGGGGAGCGGTGGAGTGAGAGGGGGACAGACAATCCATCGGACGGCGCTTAAACCACTAACCCACTTCCTACTTGAGCCAAGTGCGACGACATTGCCGTTGCCGTTGCCGTTGCCGTCGCCGTTGCCGTGGGCCGCAGCAGACAATGCTAAGGAAACACTTGCACTTTCGTGGAAAGTTGTTTGACCAGCTGCAGACAGAGCGAGCGAGAGAAAGAGAGAGGGAGAAAGATCAAAAGAGTCGAATGAGAAAAAGACATTTATGTGAGAGAGAGAGAGAGAGAGAGGGAGGGAAAGATCGAGAGCCTTGCCAATCATAAATATGTGCAAGCCTGCCTATGAATATGTATTCATCGTCGTCGTCGTCTTCGCATTCGTATGGAAATTAGCTTGAGTTAATATTGCATTCACAGTGGAGACACAACAGCAGAATGCGTTGATTTTGCAATGGCATTTGTAAAAGG